TGACCCTGCGAGTCGTAGGAGGCGACTAAAAGGGAAGTCTCAAATCTGAGACAGTAAAATACAGTTGAGTCCCAAGGGACTCGGACCCGAGAAAGACTGTGCTTGCAAGGACTAGTAGCATGTAAAAAAGACAGTCCCATCCTCTCATCAGAGAGGGCGCCCCACAAAAAAAACAAAACCATAACATTCAACAGTAATAAATATCTGGTCACGAGCCCCAGATGGGGCTAGACACCAAGACTTACTGACTGACCGATGGTCAGTCGCAATGTGACTTGGACTTGGAGATGGGTTAGTCTTGGGAAAGCCACCGCTGAAGACAGTTGGAACCTAGTCGCCATATGATACAGACAGAAGACAGTCTTCAGAAGGCCGCTGCCGAAAGCAGTCTAGTATTGGCCGAGATATAGTGGAAGCAGTAATTGTGATACTGCAAGTGATAATAATTGTAAAGCATGTGACTGTAGATGTGAAGCACAATAAATATTCGCTAAATCCAAGACCCACATGAAGTTATTTGTCGCNGACATGCACACATGACTCGGGACATGAAAAAAGAACCCATCCTACAGATGGGATCTGATAAAATGCTACTGAAACATGATTACGACAGAGCCTCCACGATCAGATTTCTTGATAGAAATGAATGGAATGAGGGGTTTCAACCTGATAGAAAGGGGGGACTAATCAGGTATACAGATGGTTCCAAGACAAATAAAGGCACTGGAGCTGGGGTGCATCGTGATGGAACGAGACTGNGATTACATATTATGCTGCAACGATCAATAGAGACCTAAATCTGATGGTTCTAACATGCATACTTGACTTGGGACATGAAAAAAGAATCCATCCTACAGATGGGGTCTGATAAAATGTTACCGAAACATGTCTATGATAAACCCTTCACAATCAGATTTCCTGATAGAAGTGGATGGAAAGAGGGGTTTCAACCTGATAGAAAGGGGGGACTAATCTGGTACACAGATGGTTCCAAGACAAATAAAGGCACTGGAGATAAGGTGTATTGTGATGGAACAGGGCAGAAATGTAGTTTCAGCCTTGGTCAGTACACAGTATTCCAGGCAGAGGTGTATGCCATTAAGGCATGCGCAGTTGAGAATTTAGATAGAAACTATAGAAATAGAAACATCTACATCCTATCAGATAGTCAAGCTGCAATTAAAGCACTTGGTACACACCAAATCACTTCAAAATTGGTCTGGGACTGCCACCAATCCCTCATACAACTGGACAGACATAACAGAGTTCAACTGATATGGGTGACAGGTCATGAGGGTATTGCAGGGAATGAAACCGCAGATCAACTGGCAAGAACAGGATCTGAACATCCATTCATTGGACCTGAACCAGCTTGTGGCATCTCAATTGGAGTTGCCAAGAAAGCAAACAGGAACTGGACAGATTGAAATCATAAAAAACACTGGGAATCCACAATCGGATTCAAACAGGCAAAGGGATTTATATCATGACCCTCTGCCAGAAGAAGAAAGGACCTTTTGAAATTAAACAGAGATCAATTAAGATGGGTGGTAGGATTACTTACTGGACACTGCCACCTAAAAGGACACCTTTTCAAACTGGGACTTACAGATGACTCAACCTGTGAAAGGTGAATACAAGAAGATGAATCAGCCACACATATCCTATGTGATTGTGAGGCCATACCTTACTTAAGATTTCACACCTGGGTCAGTTCTTCATGGAACCAAGTGACTTTTATGATGCCCTCATAAATAAAATCCTACATTTCATTCAAAGTGTAGGATTAATAAAGGTGATTTGTTTCATTCTGGTCCGTCACACTAAGAATTATAAATACAAACCACTCTGTCCAATGTGACATATAAGTTTTTACTACGTTAAAACTTATCTCCCTTACAGTGAAAACAACACAGCAAGCCACGAACAAACCCTGGACGACATCAAGAACCTCCTCATCAAGATACACAGGCGGCACAAAATCTGCCCCATACAAGAAGGATGATAGGAGTATGGACACGAACCTACGTGGTTTAAAAAAAAAATTAACTATTGACAATAAAGGTTTTTTTTTAAATAACATCTAGAAACTTTTAAAAACTTTACAACACCAGGAAGCTGCTGTGATTGTGAAACGTTCGACTTTATGCGTACTGTGCATTATAGGATATAAGTGTATGTATTGTAACGTGTCGGCAAACCAGAGGAGTAACTTCTATGGAAACACTAGAATGGACCGTTACATGTTACAGTATTTTAAATCAAAACCCCTATTGTGATGGTAGTTTCCCGTTTGAAATAATGTTCCCTCTGAAGATGGCTCGTAAGGACTGAAACATGTAAGGGAGATAAGTTTTAATGTAGCAAAAACTTATATGTCACATTGGACGGAGTGGTTTGTATTTATGATTAATAAAGGGGTAATCCAAAGAGGAAGCACATCAGATCATTGAAGGTCTCAGCACAAGAGCCAGATTTTATGGTCCACCCCTTATACACATACACAGGCCAAGACCCTAATTGAGCACCTTCCAAACACAAGTGAGAAGCATTCCTGCTTGATAAAATTTGTTCAAGTTACCAGGTAATGCAGCAATAATTCACTTTTGTAAATAACATCATGAAATTGTCCTCAATGCTGCAAAATGTGCAAGACAGAATTATGGATCCACAGCTGTTATTCCTTAGTCATTAGACCTCATGTTAGTAGTCATGTCAGTACACAAAAAAATGTATAAATACAGAGAGAAGAGAATCCTCTTGCCATTCAACAAGTGCCATTACACAGTGTAAAAGTAGTGGTGTGGTGTGCATGTGCATGGCAAATTATTCACTTCTGAATTTTAGAAGGCATGCAAAATTAATTCATGTGTTACAAGGAAAGCCTGAAGGTAGGAGAGGGTTAATTATAACGGTTTTTATAAAATATAGTAATTCTGTGTCACTGTCTTTACAGTAATCAATAATGAAGTTCTGTTAAAGCACAGACAGTCAGCACCATACCTGGAAATACCAGCATCGTTCCCTCTATGTTCACACAGTATCAAGCAGCATGTTTCAGCCTCAGCTAAGCACAATGTATAGTGAAAAACCAGAATATGTTAACAATGTGTGAAGCAATTTACCTAACAGTATGTTGAAACTGGGCTTAAATGAGTCTTATCACTTTCAACAGGATAATGTCCAAAAATATAGTACATACTATGAGGGTATGGCTACTGTATACCAAGGCTCCCAACTCCTCCACAAACACTGAATTTCAAGCCAACAGAACATTTTTGCCACTTTCTGGATAGAAGTAATAAAAATGAAAATTCTGAAGAAAAAAAGTTACTCAAGGGGATTTCAGTATCACGGGCAAAAACTGGCATGGAAATCACTGAAAATGTATTAAAGTGAATTCCAAGAAGGCTGCAAGCTGTAATAAAAGCTAAGGGTATGTACATAAAACACTAAACTCCCATACAGGATATGACATGAATCAACTTCATTTCGATTGCACTGTGCCAATAACTTTTTGTCCATGACATGGTTTTTGGAGTTACTGTACCGTTTTATCATTGATTTATTAAATGTTAATCAGTGCTTAATAATTTCACTTAGGACAAAGTGATATATCACTTTATTTCCTGTATATTGGAAATTATTTAAGAAAATTTGTGCAGAAACAAAGCACACATGTTCCCATATGACTGACCTTGACCATGTTACAGAATCAATTGCTGTTAATTAGACTACTGCTAAGTACTGAATACCAGACAATGATATCCATCTGACCAGTAAAACCAGTTTCAACAAAGTATAGACATTTGTGTTTGGTCTCCCAGAACTCATACCATGTTCTTGAAAACACCATATATGCAGTGTTATTCAAGGAGATGGTCTCCATAAATTATTGAGATCTACTCCAAATCATATCAGCAATTTTCAATAAAACTGCTATTTTGTTTCTGGGGCCTGCATACAGGACCTCTATTTTTGAAACTAAAATGTTCATATTCACCTGGAACCGACCTATGATGGACAAACCCATGAATACCAAATATGAACAAAATCCATCCAACCAGCAAGGCACAGATCCATATATACATATACACTCATTCCAGAAACTACTTTCTCATATCTGGGAGGCTCAAAGCATATAAAATCCGTCAAAATCTAAATATCGGGGTTTTCATGATCATAATACGTTCTCATATATACTACATAAAAATTAATTAAAAAAAGAAGAAAAACAGGATGTGCAAATACTTTTTGTACCCTGTGTAAGAGGCAGCATGCTGTGAATAAACTTTCATCACAATTAATCAGCCAAAAGAACATGTCACATTTCAGTTTCTGTAACACATAACATTTAAAACTGAAGAACTGATGATAATAAATTTAAGCAACATAAGTTAAAAACCCACCCTGTACTTGTTAACTGATGAAATACAGCATATCGGACTTTAATGCTGAATGAGAACTGTTTATCTGATAGAAGCAGATTGCTGAAATAACACGGGGGGCATTGCTGGAAACAGGTCATATCAATGAATGTGTTTAGAAATGGAAGAACAGATGTTTGCTGAAATACTCATAAATAAAAGACAGCATTTCTGGGAATGGGGATATGAGAAGGTCTGAGACAGTGTCATGGCACAGTAAACAATAATTTTAAACAATATTTTAAAAATATCCATACTTAACTTGGCCCAACATACTATGTATAATATAGCAGGCTTTAATAATGAATTAACACTGTAATCAGTAAGCAAAAGATTGTTTAAATAAAAGAGGATATTGTTGAGAATGGATTATGGCAACAAATGTGTATAAGACTGCTGGCAGAAAGAACAGTGAGTAAATTGTTCAATTTTCAAGAAGTTCTGGATTGCTTCAAATATGAGTTATACAATTTTGCCTTTCAAACTGAAAGGCCTCAAGAAAAAAAAGAAAAATCAAAGGGAAATTTCACACACACCTCCTCCCAGTAAATACAATTAAATGTCTATATTTACCTGAAAAGGCTCCAATGTGTTGTGTGATTCCTCCAAATTCAGTTTTAACAACTGATGTATTTCGAAGAGAGTCTAAGAGGGTTGTTTTCCCATGGTCCACATGCCCCATGATAGTTACTACTGGCGGACGTTTCACAAGAACAGAAGGATCAGGAGGTGGCCTGTTATCAGGGTACAAACATATTAATATAATATAATTTTGTCCATATAGAAGTCTCCTTTTATATGTACCATTAGCCAGCCTCACATTTCTTACTATGAAGTATGATAATGGAATGTGTGTATCATATGCATCTTATCAAGTTACAAGTACAAGAATCTGAGAACTGTGACCACAGCTAGGGCGAGAGAAACTGAACTGCTGCCATCACTATTATATGAAACAAGGGAGAGATTATCTCTCAGCTGTTGACACTTACTGGTGCGCACATCACCAGAGGGAGAAAGTTATTCTAAAATTCCATCAATGACATCCACTTCTTATACAAAGCAGAGAAAGAAGTTAGCTAGAGAACTCCTATGTCCAAGCTTCTCTTTCTTCCTCTGGGTAGCTGCCACCAGATCACAAGATCACACCAACAATACCCAATAGTACTGGTATTTAGACAGCAATCCCTTGTGCTGGATTTTAGAATATTCTCTCAGCAGAAAAACACAGCCCATGGTTTAAGGTATGCCACACACTGGCATGTGTCAAGACATATAACAGCCAAGACACGATGTCTGCAACATGATGCAAAGGAGCACAGTTAAAACAAATGAGATCATGAAAACCGCTGCACACCGGTCAGTCACGATGCTGACATCAGCTTCATGCTGATGAATCACAAATGAAGCAAGACTGCACTTTTTGTCTTTGGAGATAGATGAAGAACTGTGTGCTTGCTTCATAGACAGGCAGAAGGCATTTGACTGTGTAAACTGGACCAAATTAATGCAGATCCTAAAGGAAACAGGTAATGATTGGCGTGAAAGAAGACTGATTAGTAAATTGGACATGGATCAGAAAGTTAGAGTGCGAATGAACAGAGGGGAGACAAGAAGTGTGAAGATTGGAAGAGGAGTTCGACAAGGATGCTGTTTATCACGAATTTTGTTCAAATTGTACAGCGAATGCCTTACCAAAGAAGCTCTGGATTGGCTTGGAGACTTCAAATTAGGAGGGCAAATTATTCAAACTGTGAAATATGCAGATGACCTTGTGTTAATGGCTAAGGAAGAAACTGTGCTACAGGGTATGATTGATAGACTAATCAAAATTGGAAGGTGCTATGGCACGGAAATGAATGTGGAAAAAGCAAAAGTAATGAAAATTTTGAGACAACCAACCCCAGTCACAATAAAGATAGACCAAAAACAACTGAAGAATGTGATATGTTTTAAATATTTGGGTAGCTTGTTAACAGATGATGGAAGGTGTACGTGTGAAATTAAATCTAGGATTGCCATGGCAAAAGCTGCATTTAGCAAGAAGAAGAATCTTTTTACCAGCAAATTGGACTTAAATTTGAGAAACTAGTGAAATGCTACGTTTGGAGCATCGCTTTGTATGGGGCTGAAACTTTGACACTTAGGGCAGTAGATCAGAAACACCTGGAAAGTTTCGAAATGTGGTGTTGGAGAAGGATGGAGAAGATCAGTTGGACCGATTATGTCAGAAATGAAGAAGTGTTATTTAGAGTCAGTGAGCAGAGGAATATCCTACATGAAATAAGAAAACAGAAGTCTAATTGGATTGGTCATATCTTACGCGGTAACTGCCTTCTAAAAGAAGTTATTGAAGGAAAGATAGAGGGGGGATAGAAGTGACCAGAAGACGAGGAAGAAGACGTAAGAAGATGCTGGATGACCTTGGGGAGAGAAGAGAATATTTTCATTTGAAAGAGAAAGCTCTAGATCACATCAAGTGGAGGAACTGTTTTGGAAGATACTGTGGATCTGTCATCTTGACAGATTACAGATGAATGTCTTGATGCTTGTCTTGATGCAGTTGGTGTGTGGCCGCCCTAACACATTTAATATATAAAACAAGTTACATTCGTATATGAAAATCATACTCCACCCTGCTGTGTGTTTACATTAACTGGCTTCCCTTTCAGTTTGTCTAATTTTACCCCCTACACTGATTTCAGCTCAGCTTCTCAGGTTGCTTGGTTTAAGTAATTAACATTAGCTATAGGTAACAGGGATCTAGGACAGTAGGTGGACTGGGGGATGTCAACTGCACTTCCGTTCTCACGTGTTCCTTCTTCTCCTCATGCCTTCAACTAGGTATACGTTTTGTGTTCAGAATCTTGACCAGACTGACAAAAAAGTGTCCAACCAAAAATCCTCTTCAAGACACTCTACCACTGTGTCCTCCTACCACAGACCATCTACAATTGCAGAGCAAATTTATTGCTTACATAATGGTATAAGTCATGTAACTGAGACATGATTTGTTCCTTTCCATGTTCTTCTAATTATAAGCCCAACATTAAACCACCCACTGCTTACAGTGTATGCTTCCAGACTTCCTACTTCCATCTACAATTCCAAAATTTCTTAATTTAAAGTGGGGTGGGTCCTAGCACTGGGCATTAATAGGCAATTATGAATGACCCTTTACTGACAAACTTCTGTATTTATCCAATTTCCACTCTTGTTGAAGATGTTTACAAGTTTATTTTGTAACTGCACTGTCAGCCACATCCCAGTTTTAAATTAAGAACATGTATTTACTAGTGTTACTCACCTTGTTAGATGATATTTACTTGTACGAACAATAATAATCCAAGAGGGACATAGGCCAATTCTTACTCTCAAGATGACAGCTTAGTACAATTCTTGAATTTAAGAAAGCGGCTCGTTACACAGCTTCAAAAAGAAACAGGAAGGACCCTTGCAGTTTTTTCCTAGAAATTCTACTGAAAATTTGCTCATCGGAATTGTTTGGGAATATGATCTCTGACAGGTCCAGGACACCATACGTCAAAAGCGGGAAGGCCCAAAACCCATGCCAAGCGGAGTATTCATCAAACAGCTGTCAAAAGTTACGTTAAGTCATCAGAGTACAAATTCCCTTGAATTTTGGAACTGACTGGAGGAATAGCAAATGAAGTAAACTCCACTTGTTCAAATTTGACCAATCATCGAAATTTAAGGAGGTGACTTGTAAGCAGTTATGAAACAGTCAGGACTTTAGTTTTGAGAAGAAGTCATTATGTTAAGTTAGTTGAAAGCCGGCTCGCAGACATTTCAGACGAAATATCTGTGTGACTATAAAGTCTGTTAGAAATTCTGTTAAGTTAGTTGTATTCCAGCTCACCAAATGTTCAGACGCAAAATCTGTATCACCATACATTTGACTATAAATTCTGTTAAGTGAGATTGTGTGGTTATAATAATAGTGAGCGTAACCACCAGCTGACTATTGATTCAGCCTGGAGTAAAATTTAGGATATCAGAAATCCATTTGGAAACTTAAGCAAGCTGTTTAAGTAATTCTACAGGCACCAGTGCGAGTCCTACATAAAGGATATAATCTAGTTGACTGTGCACAAGTGATTAACAGTGCAATAAAGTGTCACTGTGAACCGGTGATGCTTACACAGTAGAAAAGAGGTCCCCATCCGAGTGAGCCCTGCTAAATACCCCTGGGACTGATTTCTCATCTCTATCATCTTGAAGTAGCACATCACCACCATCATCTCCTTATCAATTCTTCCCCCCTTCTCCACCAAGATTGTAAATGAATTCCAATAAGTTTACTGGCACCCAACCATTTACTAATTACCGGACAACCAGAAAAGGAGGTGGTAAGGATGATGGGTAAGCAGAGTTAAGCAGCACCCACCAGCAGCAGCTCCAGCAGCCAACGACGAGGACCACACAAGTAAGCGACACCCAACCAACAACAATGGACAAAAGAAGAAGTGGAGTCCAACGGTGGGCCTTGAACACAGTTACAATTTCTGGCCAATGCTAGTTTACACATAGAGGATGATTTTTCTTCTATCCAGCTGACATCAGTGTAGGACTATCTGGGTAAGAAGAGTTCTGTTTCTACAATAATTTCATCCTCTATGGCATCTCCTAAACTTCTCACTCTCAGAGTAACTGATTATATCTTTAATGCATATTATTAGTTGTAACATATTTTATACTGTATGCAAACTGCTTTTACTATGAAACTACTTAAGCACTTTTTTATCCAAATTCACCTGCTCCCATTTCCCAAACAAATATTAAATTTTCTGAACGTGGTAAACTCCAGGAACAGAACACCCATACTTGGTGCAATCAACTGTAGATGAATTTAAACTAACAAATAATGTGATAACTTCATCTTACTAACCGCTTTGTTGCATCTTTGTTTAATGATTCAGATACATTTAGGTCTGGATGGGGCACTGTGCGAGCTCTCATACCAGACTTCTTCACAATATCTTGAATAACTTGCAGATTGTCAATAACAGAAGATGGCTTATCATAGTATACAGAGTTATCAACATACATCATGACCTCAAATACATGATCTGAAAAAAAAAACTGAAGAGAATAAAAGCTATAAAAACTGGAACTAACATAAATAATTTAAAATGTATGCATCATCTGACAATGGCATAGTGTTTACAATATGAAATCCAGACTTCATCTTATGTTCTTTCATGTAAATAGCATATAATTCAGACTGGTAGTGAAGTTGATTGTGGGTTCAAGTCCTGATGATGAGGTGACTGGATTTTTTTAACTGACATAATCCTTCCAGCTGAACGACTGCACTATTGCACTGGGGTCAACTCAGCCTCTAACAGGAATGAGTACCAGGAATCTTCCTGGGGTTAAGGGGCTGCCAATACGTATGTAAGGCTGACAACCTCACCACCATCTGTGAGCCAACTGTCTAGGAAATGTGGAAGCCTTGTCATCTAATTACTCTATGGGCCTCCAGGGCCTGTTATAAGGATAGCTCTACCTTGACCTTTACATAGAATTTTGACAGGAAAGGTCACCAAATGTAACACTAACCTTTGGGACAGAAGTTCTTACGATGTGAACTCCACTGAAGTGTCTTAGAATGATGCATAATGAGCGTTGCCATTAACAGTGTTAGATCCTTGGGTTTTACTATAGAGATAGTAGTTTTCCCACTTCAATCATACAAAATTGTGCCTTCCATATTTTGATATTGAACATCTGGCAATCCTATCCAACTTTATGAGAATAAAGATATTCTTCCAGAAGAAAATAGATTGTTAAATCGCAACAGGTGTCAGACAAAATTCTGTAAGTACCATATACATATAAGTGGCAGTGAGACTAGTGCTTGTCCATGATACTCACAAGATACTGGGTAATAGCAGAAGATATTAATAGGATGCTTGCCTAAGTTCCACTTTCTACAAGACTTGACAGGAAATGAACTTTTGTTCAAGAGACTGAATGAATGTGCTAAATGCATTTAGCTATACAAAATAAAAATAAATATTACAGTACTTACCAACACTTTTCCCTACAGCATTTGCAACATCAGCTACTGTCATGTACCTCCATACAGCAACTGGTTCTTTATCCTTAGCTTTAGAAAAAGACTGTACTTCTGCAGCAGGCTTCTGTAAAGGAAAAGTGACATCTGTATATAATAAAGCCATCAACATTTCATGCATAAGTTTCATAGCCAATATGTGAAACTGAACTGTCTTACTATTATTTATATTGTAACAAAAAATGAATGGTAATGGAGCGCACATATTTTCTGAATAAGCTTTTTCACATTATGCACATTTCAATATCCCTGCTGTTCCCTTATTGTAGACATAAATCATTTGAAAATGAAACATACTATTGTACAAAGTCAGAAATCATTGTTTTCTATATTTTTAATATTTGCCAACAGAAATAATGGTACAAACAAATTTTTGGACCTCAATGGAACCTAAATTTTATATTGTATATAAATTTTTGTAATGTTTTTAAGTTTTGTAGGAGCTTCATAAAAAGTACATTATATTTTATCAATAAACAAACTGAAGTTTACTTAACAAGTTTTAGTGTAGATCCCAATTTAAAAGTTCCATCACAATCTTTTCAGCAGCTTCAGATATGGTCAGACTGAAACATTTCCCATTGTGTGTTCAATTTATCCACTTCATGCAAAGACTGCACAAAAATAAATGAGAAAAATAAAAAGCACAAACTGGAAACAATAAGCTTCAGCTCTTAGATCAGCTTTACACACTACTATTACCTTTCTGCTGTTGGTAAGGTTCTCAAAGGAATAATACTATTAAAAATTGAAAAATAAAATACAAAGAGAATAATTTTTCCTGGCATAAATACATTGTAGCCACAACTAAATAACTGGAAATTCTGAATATAGATGGAGAATTATTTTCACTGAAGCAACAACTAAAATAAGATTTTATTTTAATTCAGTTTTTAAAGTGTGGCCTATGGACTGAATGGACAGCATTCAATTCCTGGCAAGACTGGTGAGATTTTTCTCAGTACTACCACAACCAGAACAAGTCCGTTACCCATTCACCCTCCTATCAAATGGGCATCAAGAGCTCCTTCCCCAAGTGCACATTACCCACAGCCACTCACAGCTATCTGATGCTAAGGGTACAAATGTGTGAAGCTTCATCTTCATGCACACTGTATCTATATTTACGTTAAAAACGTACTTACCTTATCCTCTGCAGTCTTTCGTTTCTTATACCATTTAAAAGACAAATGCATTAATCGACACTGAACACAAATGTTGGGCTGCTGGGACAAACACTTGTTCCATACATGGGAATTTCTTCTATAAATATCCTTCCTAGCTGAACCCCATAAACTAAAACAGTAATAACTCTGAATTAGAATAGTTGGACAACTTTCCACTTCTGCCACAAAACAAGAAACAAAATAAATAAGAATACAAAAAGCACAGCTTATTTTAATTTATATAGTTAGCCATGTATGTGCATCAACTGTTATTTAAGAAGTGAAATGCCTACTCCACCATACTCTTCACACATTTGTCAAGAGAGACATGAATTTTGCTCATTTTAACTAAATTTCAGAATGGTCTTCTATAAGAAACAGGGTAAACATGCCAAAATTGTTGGCAACTTCATGCAGCATAATAACATATAAAATCATGGATGGGACCCTCACAACTGAAACCTAACAGATTAGAAGACCAGTAGTAATCTGAATATTTTACACAAAAATGGGTGCCTCATACCTTGTGTATGGAACCTTATGGGGTAAAAGTCCTGTGTGTTGAATGAGATCTCCCAGCATGATGCTCCTGGGAACCATAATTTACAATTTGCAGAATTTAATATCAACCTTCACAGAATTCATAACTGCAAATAATTTGTAGTACACAACTTTACAACAAAACTTCCACAAAATCACACCTGTAATAAGTTAAGAAAGAAAAAGAAAGAAAGAGGGAAGGAGGAAGGAAGGAAAAACAGTGTATGTGTTATTTCTGTTAGTTTCTCATAAATGCAAAGTGCTTTTTTTGGCTGTAACAGGGGATTATCAGTTGTGATCACATAGTGGATGGAGCTACTGTAAGAAGAAAAAGCTGTTTCCTTTTTAACAGCATAAAAAATAAATGTTATGAACTCCATAGCCTTTGAAGGGCAGTGTTAAGAACTGAAACTTAAGTTTTAGTATTTATCCTGTACATATACAGGATTAGTATAAAAGAAATAGACATTTTCAACATTTTATAGAAACCGAAGTACTGTTGATATAGCCAAAATAATTGCATGGTTTTTCAGCATATGTTTTTAAGTTTGTATGACTAAGTTACAAATGTTCTATGTGTGAGCCTTTTGTCACACGACAGATATCAATACGATAATCCAATTCGTTCCAAACACACCGGAGCATGTCCTTGTGAACACACATAACAGCTGAGATGCATTGTTTTAGATCATTTGTACTTAGAGGAAGTGGAGGACCAAAAACTGTCTTTGATATAACCCCACAAAAAAAAAATCAGTGGGAGTTAGATCGGAATTCTTGGTGGTCAACTTGTCAGTGCCATGCTCTGGTCTGTTGAGCGGTGTTTAGAATGAACTGGGTTATCATACTGATATCTACCGTGTGACAAAAGTCTCATACACAGAACATTTGTAACTTAGTCATACAAATTTAAAGATATATACTGAATTCCATGCAAGTATTTTGGTTATATCAATAATACTTTGTTTGCTATAAAATATTGAAAGTGTCTATTTCTTTTAGGCTAACCCTGTATTATATAAAAACTAGCATGATAAAACTTTTCCAAATAGTTCGCATTTACAGTCATCTTGGTGCCTTCACATTTGTGTTGTGTGGAATTCTTTACTTTGCAACACCAGCCACATCTAAGAGACACCCTGAAAGAATTCTCGGTTAATGAAGGCAATCAGAGACCTTTTTTCCAAAACAAGAATTTGATAGCCAGAAGTAACATGGCAAATTTACTGCACACTGCACCTGAACATGTTAGTGCCGCCTTAAGAATCAGCACGATTCATTTAATGTTACTCTCACTAAGTGTGACCATATAGGACCAAATGACTGGATAATAGTGAATGATGAATTGGAAATGATGTGGAAGGAAATGGTTAAGGCCTAATTTAAGACAGTGTACCAAAATTTTTGTCAAGAAACCAAGTAAGAACCTCAGTCAGGATATCAGGATTTGAATCAAAAATCTCCCAAATATACATCAGAAGTTTTACCACTTGAACCATCTTCTTCAGTGTGAGATATATATATATATATATATTGTGACGTGGATGGCGTAGCGGGAGGTGGGGGTCGCGTGAACTCTTGTGATCTCGCGAGTGACATCGCATACCCCCCTTCCATCGATCAGTGTGCAACACTCAGTAGACACCCCTTACCATGCGGTGACATAACACGGGATGCCACAGTTGCTACGTAGCCATAAGCAACTCCTGGCAGCGCTGCCCAGCAACGCCTTTGTAAACACAGCGGGGAGTCCGTGCAACAACTGTTCCTAGGCAGTTGGTAAACACGACGTTACGCAACAGTGGTGCCTATTATGTATCTGTTTTCTGTGTTGTCTGTACCAAGGCTAAATAAGGAGCAGCGAACACTATTCAACAGTTACTTACGAGTTATGAGTTAGCCAGGGAGTCACCAGTCAACCAGTCAGTTGTAGTCTAGCATTCACAGGCCAGGTAATTGTAATACTGCAGATAGCAGTACTCATAGTTGTGAAACTGTAAATTGTGTGATTGTAAGAGCGAGTGTGAAATAAAATTCGCTATATCCCACACGGCATGAAGTTACTTGTCGCGTGTTATACACCCAACACGTGACAATATATATAACTTCAAACTGCAGTTCACTGGAGGAAGGACCAAAAAACTCATCAGGTATCGTAATAATAAAATGTTAAAATACAAGTACAACCTAAATATGCTTGTGGTTTTAGAAGACAAAGATTACTGGTTAAACATTTAATTTCAACCACACTAGGAAAGAAAAGATCTGATAAGAAGAGAGATGATTTCACTAAAGGCAGTATCAGACAGCTAGTGTAGAGAAAATATTTGATAGGTACGTTATATGCTACTAAGAAATGTAATATGCAAACAAAGTTTGCTTCCAAATTTAAATGTGAAAACATGACTTATGTTAAGTCTTGCTTGACATAAAATGCAAGAAACAGAAGCATATTGCTTAATAAATCATTTAAGGTTCATGTGATACATACATTAAGTACATTTACTTACTCACGGAGCAGAGTCCTCCTTGAGGAGCCGCAAATTCTGCAGCTATTCAAGAATTTCCCAGCATTTTATGGAACCCGAAGGTTCATTATCGTGTTCACAAGAGCCCTGCAATTGTCCCTATCCTGAGCCAGATCAATCCAATCCATACCATCCCATCCCTCTAAGATCCATTTTAATATTGTCCACCTACCTATGCTTTGGTCTTCCCAGTGGTCTCTTTCCTTCTGACTTTCTCACCAATATACTATATGCATTCACCTCCCCCATTTGTGCTACATGCCCTGCCCACCTCATCCTCCTTGACTTGAACATTCTAATTATACTTGGAGAAGAAAACAAGTTATGAAGCTCCTCATTGTGCAGTTTTCTCCAACCTCCTGTCACTTCATCTCTCTTTGGTCCAAATATACTGCTCAACACTATGTTCTCAAACACCCTCAGTCTATGTTCCTCCCATAATGTGAGAGACCAAGTTTCAACATAAACTAAATTATGATACATAAAACACTCATCTTTGAGGAGCATTCTGACTGACATTATGAATACGTTTCCCTGGTGGAAAAAGCGCTTGCAAAATGTGTTATATGACAAAAGCTTCAGCTCTGAGAAATCTAACAACAGGTCAGACTGCTGTTAAAATCCAACATTCTGTCTGCCTGAATTGCCAGTTGTCAATGTCTGAATTCCCCAGTAAGAATAATAACTTTATGACCCAATATGCATGAATATTTTTGAATTCCATTTGATAACCTTCATGCCAGTACTGTTGGAAGAACTTGGAAATGGAAATATGAGACCCAAAATGTTTTATCTTTGCTGTGTTCTTCAGGTACTGACAGAGGGCTTCTTTGGGAAAAACATGAACCATTATATTTCTAACCAAAGAAAATAACACATACAAGGTAATGGATTTACTTATCTGGTTTAAATTCATCATAAATTTTCTCCCACATATTGCAACACAACAGCTGTATCAAACAAGGCCCATCCTCTCTCCTAGAGCAAGCTGATGGTAGCAGCAGTAAGACTCTCTTTCATTAGTATGACTAACAGCATTAGTGTCAAACACTTTCAGTAACAGAGACATTTGCCTATATCTTTTTTGTTCACTATTTAGCAACTACACATTCTATTAATGTTTGTAAAGAAAAATAATCTCTTATCATAAAGAATAAAAAAAATTCTGAATGTATACAGTATGGTGTTGGCCATTTTCTTTATACTGGACTGTATACGGAAATGATGTGTGTCTTGGAGTGAGGGAAGAGACAGAGAGGGTTTCGTATATGGCATGACTGTCGTCATTGTTACTGCTGTTATTGTTGTTAGATGGTAATGATTGAGTAGAAGGACAAATGAGCTAAATGTAATTGAGAGGAATTAAAAGGAGCTTTTGCAATAGGAAAATAATTGCCACTGATGATAGCTTAACAACTGTATTCTTATAAGGACATCAAGACACGTCATCTGATTTGTCAACAACAAAAAAACTGGAGAATGTACTGTATTAATATAATGAGAGAAAGAACTTTGTGGCAGAGTATGTAAATTTGCAAGCAAAATTCTGAAAAATAAGAATGGGTATGGCTGCAAAAGGCATCTCTTCATTTCAAAATCAGGCAGCAGATTTGAAATATTGCGCAAGGTGGCCATCTTTTCTCGCCAGGCTTTGTCGTCAGGGTCCCTCTTTTCTACCCAGGTTTTCCACCTATCGTCAAAACTTTTATCGGCAGCTTCTCTCTCGGCCCTCCATTTTTCCCTCAGGAGTTCCATCATCTGCTGTGAGTCCATTATCTTTTTGTAAGATAACACTTTATGCACCCGTAAATTCGATTATTCGTCAAGGCGTGTTGAAGTTCATAAACAAATTCTGACACCAAACCGTCACGTGTTGGGTGCATAATGCGACAAATAACTTCATGCCATATCGGATATAGCGAATTTTATTCCACACTCGCTCATACAATCACACAGTTTACAATCTCACAATTACTGCCATCAGCAGTATCACAAAAACTAGACTGCAAATGCTGGACTACAACTGACTGGTTGACTGCCTGGCTAACTCATAACTAACTGCTGGCTAGATTCCACTCAACTCATAGGCTGCTGCCTTGAGAACTGTCTTCGGTGGCTGTGTAGTTCCCTTATAAACCCTCAGCTGGACAACGGGAAAACAGCCACGTAATAGGCACCACTGTTGCCTGATGCCGTGTTTGCCTGTTACGTAATGGGTATCACTGTTATTACCGTCGTCTCTAGCAACCACTGTTTACCCGCTTTGCTTAGCAAACGCTGTTTACTCACGTTGCATAGCGACCAGTGTGCTGGGACTCGGCTCACTTCGGCTCCACTCAGCACGTCACGGCTGGTGGGGAGGGAGGGGTGCCATCCATAGCGCAACATGTCACAATATAATACCCATTATACAACTGAGAATATTTTAACTGAGACACCTTGGAGGGATCTGTTACCTCAGCATAGTCAGGGGATGCATTAAGCTGGTTCCAGAATTTACAGCATAAAGACCACCAATCATATAGTACTGAAGAGACAGGCACATACCAATTCAGACAAGCAAAGCAAAGCTGAATAGAATAAAACCATCCCCAACATGACCAATACATTACCTGCTAAGAGTTTCACTGTTCTCACAGACTGCAGCCATTAAAGCTGATCAGTCAAGACAGCCAATGAAGTGGACTGACATTACAAAAGAAAAAAAAAAATCCTAAGATATTACTGCACAGTTACAAAAAAGTGAGTCAGTATTACTAAATACAGAATTGATCCTTACGAAGAATTCATGTAAGTTCATCCAGTACTATTTTATTTCATCAAATAAAGATTATCCAATCAACCAATTGCATCATTTGAAATAGCAACAATCCACAGAGGAGAATCCTTCTTAGGGAGGTAATATTTGCACAGCTGGTAATGGTATAAAGACCCCACCTTCCATGGAACCTAGAGGTTAAAGACCATGTTCACAGCAACTCATGAAAACCCTATCTTAACCAGCTGAATCCAGTTCACGTGATTTAGAGTCTGTTTTAATACTTCCCTCCCAATGACATACGGGTCTTACAAGTGGTCTCTTCCCTTCAGGTGTCCAGATTAAAACTCTGTATGTACTTCTTACATTTCCCATACATTCTACATCCTCACTGATTTGACCACACACACTACTATTTGGCAAAGAACTATTTGAAATTATAATATTCCAAAGACAGTACTTCACAAATAAAATAGGAAATCCTTAAGAATGAAGATGCCACTTACCAGGTATGAATATAAATATCAAGAGACATTAACAAAATACCATGGTAGACAAAATATGAGAGAAATAAACCAACAAATACATCCCCTCTTCCGAAACATCTTGTAACATACCAAGACTGTGACCATGCTTCAAAATAAAAAAAGACACAACATATCATCACCTACATCAAATACTAATTGAAAAAATGAATGAAAACAGCACCACCATAATCAAACACGAATCCAAGAGTCTATACATAACAATTATATGAATATTATATTTAAGCATCCTGTTGCACTCCATATGATAAATGATATAAACTCCGTCTCAAGTGCAAACAATATATTCTGTGAAGAAAGCAGTCTTCTGGGATTTGGCACCGTGTATATGTGGTGTTAACCGACGTTTCGGAGGAACGTATCGCCCCCATCTTCAGGGTTGAAGAAAAAGTATAAGTAAATCTGCAAGCGACAACACTGTGAGACACGGTCAAGCAGACTNTTGGTTCTGTTGGATAACTAACTGGTTTAGTCTCATTAGGAATACTAAATCTCTTAAGAACATTGTTCAAATATTGAGTTTGGGTTAACTTTATAGTTTTCTTTGCCCTATCTCTGTTCATTTCCATTCCAAGACATTTCTTAACTGGTCCCAAATCCTTGACTTTAAAACATGGTTGCAATTTTCTTTTTAAATTTTCAATTTCAACATTGTCATTATAAAATATGAAGAAGTCGTCAACATACAATGCTATATTAATTACAGAATTACCCTTTTGTTTGGTATAAATACATGGTTCAGAACAAGTTTGCTTGTACCCTAGCTTTTCAGAACTTCTGTTGCTTTCTTATTCCATGACCTAGCTGCTTGTTTTAGTCCGTAAACTGATTTTTTTAACTTTTAAATTTTATTAGGCTCCCCCTTAATATCATATCCTTCAGGAAGCTCCATATATATAACTTCTTCAATATCCCCATTTAAAAACACAGTACAGACATCAAGCTGGTCAATGTTCCAATCATGCTTAGCAGCTAAAGCAAATAACAAACGCATTGATGAGTGTTTCACTACGGGAGTGAAAGTTTCAAAATAGTCTCTTCCCTTTGTTTGGCTACAACCTTTCGCCACTAAACGTGCTCTGTGACATGCAATATTTCCTTCAGCATCTCGTTTAATTTTTAAGACCCATTTTGACTTCACTACTGGCTTATTCGACGGTCTGTCTACTATTGTCCATGCTTCATTTGTTTGAAAGCTTCTAACTCCTGTTGAATAGCTTCTTTCCATTTAGATTTATCGGAGCTTTACAGTGTCTCTTCATATGTGACTGGTTTTGACTCCTCATCTTTATGCATGGCTAAGTAAGTAATAAATTCTGGAAATTCTTTATGTTTCCTGTTCTGAAGTGGATATCATCTTTCTTCCAAATTTCCTGGTAATTGTTCTAAGCCGTTCGGCTCTAATGGAACTTCATTTCCTTCATTTTCTACTTGTGTTTGTTCTTCTTCGGGGTTTTGTTCTTGCAGAATCATTCTTTCATCTTGTGGGTTGAGGTAGAAACTTGACAACTCTGGAAAATCTCTTTAAGCTGAAATCCTTTCTCACTCTCTTTCTTGTTTATAATTTCTTCTTCCAGAAATTCTACGTCTCTTGCCTTAACTATTTGAGACGGATTGAGGGGATCTGATAACCGATTAGCTTTACTATCCTCTCTATATCCCACAAAAATGTATTTTTGCTCACTGCATCCAATTTTTTGCGTTTCTCTGATGGTATATGTGCATACGCTGGACATCCAAAAATTTTTATGTGGGAGAGATCAGTCTTTTCTCCTGTCCATATTTCTTCGGGCAATTGGTTCTTTAGTTTCTTGTGAGGTGATCTGTTCAAAAGATATACGGCTGTTTGTGCTGCTTCAGCCCAGAATCTTTTGTTGCAACCAGAATCATACAACATACACCTTGTTTTTTTTTTCAAAATACTGTGATTAGCTCGTTAGGCAGTTCCATTTTGTTGTGGATTATATGGCACAGAGAATTCCCTTTTAACTCCCTTTCGTTTTAACATGTCATTGAATAATTTGCTGCAAAATTCACCACCAATATCGGAACAAACAGCTCTTATAGTCAATCCGGTTTCTGTCTCAACCATTTTCATAAATTCTTTAAAGGCTTCATATGTGTCACCTTTTTGTTTCGAGAAACGAATGAAGATTTTTATACTACGATCATCCACAATAGTCAAAAAATATTTTGCATTCCCATAAGAGGGTACTTCAAATGGCCCAACCAGATCTAAATGTAATAGATCAAGTATCCTTTTTGACCATTTGTTCTTTGATTGTAGGAAAGGCTTCTTTGTCATCTTGCCTTCCAGGCATGGAAAACATTTCTTTGACTGATCTTCTTGTTCTTGAAAATCAATGCCACTAGCTAAACCTTTTTTAAGCAACCGCATGCTAACCCTATTTAAATGCCCAAAATGCCTATGCCACAACAGCTGTTCATCAATTTGCTGGGTACCTGCAACTTGTTCATTCTTTACAGTATTAGTACAAGAGTTCTCACATGCATCATTATTCTCTTTGGCATTGATCTTATCTTTAGTTGCAGTATTTGCATATTGGGTCAAGTTAGCTTTGGTATTTAAACAATAAATCCCATTTTCGGGATATGCTTTGGCAAGAACTTTCCTGTTACCACAAAATCATCAGAATCATATAAGTTGCAACAGTCTTTGGTGAATAACACAATCATACCCTTGTTTACAATTAAGTTCACAGATAACAAATTTGTAGACAATTTTGGTACATGCAATACAACTGAGATATGGCTAAAATTGTCATTCACAAGTTTTGCATCACCAAAACCTGCATTAGTTAACACGTTATCTTCACCAAGACTTATCTACAGGTCTTCATAAAACAATATCAGAAAAACTGTATGTATATCTTCCAATCATTCAACTCACAATATGCACTTTTAACACTTATCATAATTTTCATTGATTACCATTGTTCACATAGAAACTTTCCACAAATCTATACTTTCCACACAAGAGTATTCAAAATTAAAGTCAAGCAGATAAAGCTAAATATGGTGTTGGACAAAATGCCAGTGTTAATAGTATGGTGAGGTGAGGAATCTGCTGTCAAGGCTACACTTTGCCATTTCAGGCATGTTATGGTAACAAAGAAAGCCATAATAATTTTGACACTTGAGGTTCTTGTGAAAGTGAATACTGAGACTGCTGTCTTCTTGGACGTGATACCACATAGCCTGATAGATGCTTACCAGCATTTAGGAGGAATATGCTGCCTCCATCCTTGATGGGAAACCAAACCACATCTCTTACTTAATTTACATTTTATATACCGTATTAGAGAGAGCATTAATTTTCCATCCATTTTTAAAGATTTCCTCCATTTTTCTCTATTCCACATAATAGACTCAAATGAACAACTGCATCCTTACCACTGGACAAGTAACTGTGTTTAATTCTTCCTGTCAGGCCCAAATGATTAAGCGAAAACCCGCCTTTTCATCTGCAGGAATCTAGATTAATTCTTTTTAATAGACATAACAAGAACGAGTGCAGCCCCACCTTTTCACTTAAGCATGGAAAAAGAACCGGTCTCCGAAAAGTTATGTTCTTCTAGAATAATGGACGCTGGACAACATTTAGCAGCTCTGTAATCCCAAATGTTGTATATCATCATTACACATTTGATAAATATTAAAAGATTTGGTTATGTCTGTAAGGGCCGAAATACAAAATTAATAAACCAAATAACGACAACTTGTACCTTCTTAAAATACTTAGTCGTATAACAGGAGTAGCCATAATTAACACAAATTGTTTATAGCCTGTCTATCCAGGTCTAAGCACATGTAATACTTATAAACATATCTCTTCCGCTACCGGGTAGAGCCATTGAACGATGCTAACGGCGCTAACGGCCTGGAAGGTAACCAGTTGCGCAGCTGCTCAGGAAATTTCCCAATATTGTATGGAAATCAGTGCTTCATTACCGAGTTCACAAGAACCCTCCATTGTTCCTTATCCCTGGCTAGATAAATACAGTCTGTACGGTCCATACCAACACAACGTATTTCTCTAAGATGCATTTTTGCGTTAGCAACAATTTTATTGTTTCATTTTTCTGACATAATATGAGGGATTTTCTCATCCATCTTATTGGCAAAGTTGAACTGTAAGATGGCTTTCGAGCTCTTGTGAAAAGTTATGTGCAGTACATAGACGTACATAAAGTATTACTACTTATAACATGTTTTAGAATTTTTATACTGACGTAGTGGTTTATACTGTAACACCTGAATATGTTGTTGGGAACATTAAAGCTATGGCAGAGGTGTTCCTGCCGCGGTACGGCCTTAGTTGTACCACGGCTAAGTGTTCATTTAACTTGTACACGTATGATTAAAGAGGGTAAGTAAACGCAGAATTAGGAACAGCTTTGGAATACGGATTGCACTTGTTACTATTGTTATATTAACAAATTATTTGTAGTTGCTAGGCCTAAACATAGATCAGTCTCAAATATCCCATGTAACATTTTACTGATGTTGAGGTTTACTTATTGGTGCTGAGCTGGCTGGTATAGTGGTAACACTCCAAACTTCTGTTTGGAGGTGCTTGGTTTGTATCTCGGCCCGGACAGCGGTCATTTTGACAGGTTTTCTTTTTGTGAGTTTCCACAGTTCCTGCTGGCAAATACCGGACTAGTACTTAAGTTATGCCGTCAACCCTGCTTCCTCCCAAATTCAGATTCGTTAGTGTTATAAAGTCATGTCACAACAAAGACATTGTTATGTCAACATTTTAAAAATTCACGTAATTTGACGTGTAATTCACGTGGATGTTTGTTGAAATCTTTTCCTGTTTTACGTTTCACAACATAAAGAGAAGCATATACAGGAGTAAGGCGAAGTGTGAGTTATGGATGTCTGTGGCTCGGTGCCATCAAGTGCAACAGATTTGTTATTTAAACCCAGCTTGATTATAGCTGAAGTGCAGTGCCAACCACAACATTATTAGGTTCAGTATTACCATCACTGCAGTTTTTATACAAGTTCAGTCAGTTATTTTAAATGCTATGTTAACTGTTGTAGTTACATAGTGTATGGTAGAATAAGATATGCTAATTCCAAATGATGAATGAGAAGAAATATTGGAGAAAGTAGCCATGACGTACCATTTTTAAATGGCCAAGAAAGAGCACATAGTCTTAACATATGTTAAACCTTAGTCTGCAGCTGAGATTCATATTAGGATCTTCAGAATACAGATATATTACTGCTTTGATAACCAGTTTGGTAATTTTATAGGTTGAAACAATTTAGCAGCCTGTAAAGTCTATGAGATTTGATATTCTTATTGATTTGACTGTGAAGATCACTGTCTTTTGGACTGTGATGCTGTGTAATCTGACAGAAGTTTACTGACAATTTGGAAGAACATAATGCTTCTGTATTCAGGGCTGGAGCCTGAAGATGGAGGCAGTATGTTCCTCTGAAACATTTGGTAGAAGCCACTGCCAGGCAGTGACCAGTGAGAACAGAACAAACTGAGAAGACTTTGTATGTGCTGTAGTGACTTGTAGAGTGTGTAGATTAGTGAAAGTGTTAACAATCATCTGTAGCTGCTAGTCATAAGTATTTAATAAATTCAATAATCAGTCCAAGCCCCATCGTTAGTCACTGACACATGTTTTTGTTCATATTTCAGAACTGAATTAATGGGCTAAAAGTGTCAGGAAGGCACATCTTAGTAACCAGTTTGCTGTTTACCTGAAGTTCGTATTACATAAGACTATGTAATGGGCAGTGACATGTGACTTATCATACAAGCAGTGAAGCCAATTGTTTGTTGCTAAAATAGTAAGGAATACGCTTGGGAAGGCGCATGCTCAAATGTGGAGAACATTTTTCCACTCTTTTATCTTGCAGAATTTTCCTTGAACTGTGGCTAGTTTACTTTTAGGATATTTGATCATAGATTTAGCTTTGCCTCCTCCTGATGAACAGAGCCACTGACTGAAATAATTCAACATATTCCATTTGCTAACTAATTCCACAGAGCAGAGTAGTCACAAAATTCTGCATCTTCTATGGACTCTCCAAGTTCATTACTGGGTTCACAAGAACCCACCACTGGTTCCTGTTGTAAGTCAAATGAAACCAGCCCATGGCCTTACACTCTTACTTACTTACTCATGGAGCTGCCAATTCTGCAGCTACTCAAGAATTTCCCAGCATTTTATGGAACCCAAAGGTTCATTACCATGTTCACAAGAGCCCTCCACTGGTCCCTATCCTGAGGCAGATCAATCCAATCAATACCATCCCATCCTGTCTCTCTAAGATCCATTTTAATATTGTCCACCCACCTACACCTTGGTCTTCTCAGTGGTCTCTTTCCTTCAGGCATTCCCACCAATATCCTATACGCATTCCTCATCTCCCTACTTCATGCTACATGCCCTGCCCACCTCATCCTCCTTGACTTGATCATTCTAATTATACTTGGAAAAGAGTACAAGTTATGAAGCTCCTCATTATGCAGTTTTCTCTAACCTCCTGTTACTTCGTCTCTCTTCGGTCCAAATATTCTCCTCCACACCCTGTTCTCAAACACCTTCAGTCTATGTTCCTCCCTTAATGTCAGAGACAAAGAGTCACACCCATACAGAACCACAGGCGAAATTATAGTGTTGTATATCCTAATTGTTATGTTTTTTGGACAGCAGACAAGAAGACAAAAGGTTCTGGACTGAATGGTAGCAAGCATTACCCGAGTTCAGTCTCCTCTTAATTTCCTCCTGAATCTGGTTTTGATTTGTTATTGTTCCCAAATATCTGAATTGTGCCACATTTTCAAAACATCTGTTTTCTTTCTTTATATCATGATTTTGCCCTGCATTTTGGTGACAAGACAGCAACATATACTTATGTAAGATTTGAGGCTTTCACGGCGGTGACTATGAAGAAAGCAGTCTTCTGGGATTTGGCACTGTGTATATGTGGTGTTAACCGACATTTCGGAGGAACGTATCGCCTCCCTCTTCAAGGTAGAAGAAAAAATATAAGAAATCCCTTCCCCCCTTCCTTCTCTGCTCTCACATAACTTTGTATATTTCCAACACCAGTCTGCTTTTACCAGTTCTCACGGTCTCTTTGCTTGCAGATTTCTTATATTTTTCTTCTACCCTGAAGATGGAGGCGATACGTTCCTCCGAAACGTCGGTTAACACCACACATATAC